CTCGACCGGTTTTGATTGGCTTGTCTTTCCAGCCGTTGGCGGTCTTCGGCGCTGGGACTCCGCGGCCCATGACTCTCCCCCGCCGCTGAGGGCCGCCGGGCGCGAGGCACCATGTACCCCACCAGCAAGAAGCGCTACGAGGGCCCCCCCACGGGGTACGGCCCTCCGGGCGAGGACGACTACGGCTACGATCTCCACTCGCCGCCTCCGGGCTCCTACTACGTGGAGGACGTCCCGCAGCTTTTCTACAAGTGGAACTCCCCGCCGGGGGTGGTGAGGATCCTGGAGGCCGTCGGGCTGCTGCTTTGCCTGGCTATCTTCGCCTGCGTGGCTTCCACCCTGGCCTGGGAGTACGGCTACGGCTATGGGGGACTCTACGGCTACGGCGGCGGCATGGGGGGCTACGGGGGCGGCATGGGGGGCACCTACTATGGCAGCGGCTTAGGCGGCAGCAGCTACTATGGCGGTGGCTACTACGGGGGGATGACCAACCCCAGGGCAGCCACTGGCTTCATGATCGCCATGTCGGTGCTGTGCTTCGTTGCCCTCCTGGCGCTGGCCATCACCAGCCTCACCAAGTCGGCCGGGTCCCGCTCCCGGCGCTTCTACCTGGTGGTCCTGGTGGTTTGCGCCATCCTGGCTGTCGTCATGCTGATTGCCTCCATCGTCTACATCATGGGCGTCAACCCCCGGGCCCAGATGTACGGCAGCTACTACTACAACGCCAACCCCATGCTGGCCATGTGCAACCAGATCTACGCCACCGGGGCCTACTTCAACCAGTACCTCTACCACTACTGCATGGTTGACCCCCAGGAGGTGAGGGCGTCCGAGGGGCTGGAGTGGGGGAGAGCTCCGGGGTTTGGGTCTCTGGCTGGCTGCGGAGCCAGTGATTGGGAGTTTGAATCCCCCACGGCGTCTCCTTGAGAGGGGCTGGACCGGATGACCTTGAGGGATCCCTTCCAACTCTGCTGTTCAAAGGTTACCCTTATTATAAGGGAGCGCAGGGTGTGTGTGTGTTCCTTGTTAGTGAATCCCCCGTTCCTGAGCCTCTGGCTTACAATCCTCACAGTGACCTGGTGGTCCTGGTGGTTTGCGCCATCCTGGCTGTCGTCATGCTGATTGCCTCCATCGTCTACATCATGGGCGTCAACCCCCGGGCCCAGATGTACGGCAGCTACTACTACAACGCCAACCCCATGCTGGCCATGTGCAACCAGATCTACGCCACCGGGGCCTACTTCAACCAGTACCTCTACCACTACTGCATGGTTGACCCCCAGGAGGTGAGGGCGTCCGAGGGGCTGGAGTGGGGGAGAGCTCCGGGGTTTGGGTCTCTGGCTGGCTGCGGAGCCAGTGATTGGGAGTTTGAATCCCCCACGGCGTCTCCTTGAGAGGGGCTGGACCGGATGACCTTGAGGGATCCCTTCCAACTCTGCTGTTCAAAGGTTACCCTTATTATAAGGGAGCGCAGGGTGTGTGTGTGTTCCTTGTTAGTGAATCTCCAGTTCCTGAGCCTCTGGCTTACAATCCTCATGGTGCTCCTTGGGATGATGATTATTTGGGGCTGAGCTCCGCAGAGCTCGGCCCCCGATGACCAACCCCCTTAGAAGGCACCAAAGTCTAGAGATGAGCTTACTTGTGAGGTTTTTTTTGGGGGGGGGAGAGAAAATTAATTCCCACTCCTCCCAACCTTATTCACTTTCCCTTAAAAAAAACTATTTTGGGAAAGACAAGTCTTAACATCCGGTTTTGTGGGGAAATGGGGTGGTGGTGATGTTTTTTTTAGTGGTTTCGGGCAGGTGGGGGAGAGAGAGAGGGCTTTTTTTAAGAGGCAGGCACACTCCTGCTTCCAGGGTCCACCCCTCCCCGAACAAGCTCCGCCTCTTAGGTCTCCTCAACAGGACTGGCCACTTGAATTCCCCCCGTTTCTTGAAACTCTTTAAATTCTGGGAGTTTTGCTTTCCTTTGGAGGGGAGAGTGACCTACCAAACAGAAGAGAAAAATATTCATGAATTCCTCCAAATGTAATGGATGTTCTAGGTGAGGGTGCCGAGTGGAACTGGGCGGGCGCCCCTATTTCCCCCCCCCGAGTTTCTGTCGCTTCTCTCTGTTGACTTCTGCGCCCACGCCATCCTTGCACTCCCGACGTCGCAACGAAAGCCACCACCCCAAGGAAATGCTTTGGCAGTGGAAGAAACTTATCATGGGAACGGCCGGGGGTGAGGGGGGAGACCAGTTTCAGGGCAGGGCAGAAAATAATCAGAGTCTATTTATCAGCAGGCAGGGCGGTCATGGCACACCTAAAAACTGCCCAGTCAGGCAGATAAGGGAGCCCGAGAACTAGGGAAGGGGTCTCGAAGGTCATCTAGTCTGACCCGGAAGCAGGAAAACCACCATTAAAGCTTACAGGCCTCTGAAGAGAGTTTTTTATGGCGCAGTGAGTGAGGTTTCACATGAAACTCAGCTGTGAAACAACAACGGGGGCCTCGGACCTGTCTTCTCTGTCCTTCCCTCCCAGCCTGGACTACCTTACAAGGCTGTTGTGGGCCGAAAGAGAGACAGGCACCATCTTCTGCTCAAGGGCGGAAAACCAGAAATAGAACTCCTGATATAACTGGAATAAAATTAATTCTCCCCCCCCCAAAAAAAAATTCTGCTTTGCTGTCCGTCTTCCCCAGGCCATTGCCATCGTCTGCGGTTTTCTCCTGGTGATTCTTCTCTGCGTCATCTGCGTCTTCGCCCAAAAGACGCGCCAGAAGATCTGGCGGTATGGGAAGCCCAACATCTACTGGGACCAGCCACCCGCCTTCCAGGAGGGTCCCAACGTGGAGGAGTGGGTAAGTCTTGGCTGCTCCTCCTCCCCCCTCCTCTCTGGGGAGTGCGTAATGGGCTCCCTTTTCTAGCCCCTTCATCTTGAGTTTGGAGGGCCAGAGATTCTCTGGCCCTCCAAACTCAAGATGAAGTGGCTTCAGGCCAGGCGGAGGATGATGGCAGAGGTCAAGATCCTTGACGCTGGTCTGGATACTTTTTTGCAGGCTGAGGTTGCAGTGGCTACAAACACATAAGGGTCCCATTGTGTTCTCGGCTGAAACGATGAGCTGAGCGAGGACTGTCCGTGCGGTGGATTGAAATAATGATGATCATTTTCCTTCTTCTTCTTCTTTTTTTAAAAAAAGACAAAAACCTGCTTCCTCCTGAAATAACCCAGCCCCTAGGTAGAGCTAGAACGGCTTGGAATCCCACCCTTCCGCACACACAGGAGCGGCCCATGCTTTTAAGATTTTCTCATCCTCTTCCTTCCCCAGTAGATGTCTTTGGCATGTAAGAGGGGGAGCCGGTTTTACTCAGAATGGCCGAGGGCCAAGGATCATGGGAGTTGTAGTCTGGTAGAGGGTGTAGAGCACGTTTGCAAAAGTTTTAAGCCCCAGGGGCCATCTCTGGCCTTCCCAGGATCTGATCTTGGTGGTCATTAATTAACCTTTCATGTTAGATTGCCTTTTTGAATTGTTTGCCCCATTCTGGCCCTGCTTGTCTTTAAACGACGGCCATTTCTCGGACCTGGGAGCGCTGGTCTGCCTTTAGCATTAAGCCGATGGAGAGAGTGGGCCTTCTGTCCTCTGTACGTGAACAGAGGCAGTCTCGCCTTCCCAACAAAGCACAAGCATACCTGTGCCAAGCTAGCTACCCAGTGCCGGCTTCTGGAGGGACGGATCCAGCGCCCGACCCTTCCACCATCCTGTTTTTTTTTCAATGGGCCCCAGAGCTGAGGCCGTGGTTATCAACCCCAGCAGGAGGAAAAACAAATAATGTGGAATTATGATTTCTCAGAGTCAGATGTGAAAGTGTGTGTGTGTGTGTGTGTGCCTGTAATCCAGAAATGTTTTGTTTCTTGCTTGTTTGCATACGATAACACTACAGTTTCGGTTAGGTCAATGATTAACCTCAGGAACGAGTCCCTTCCCCCCCCCCAAAAAAAAGCCACCCTGCCCAATGACTTCTGGCTGCGTGTGTAAAGTCACGTTGGAGAAGAAAGCTTTCTTCGTGGCTCCAGGGGAAAAAAAAAAGGAAAGCAAGCCCCAAACCCTTCTTCGTCTGGGGTGAAGGCGAAAGAAATGGCCCATGGATTATGGGTCTTATTTTTTTTCTCTCTCTCTCTCTCTCCACCATTCCTGGTGGCTGAGCTTTGCTTCCTAAAACCCTGACTTGACCAGACCTTGATCTGTTCCAGCACGGCGTGTCTTGGGTTATCCACCGAAAAAGCCCCCCCCAGCAGTGGGATTCTCTAAAGGTCCCCCAAAGGGCAAGCTTTTGAGTTTAACAGGGTTCTTCATTTTACCTGCTTTTTTGTGAGCTTATAATGGAGCCCCTGAATGGGACGGATTTGGAATTTATTACCGCGGCCTCCATTCCGTTTTGGAGAGCAGGCGTTGGGACCTTGTGTGGAGTGCTGACACAAAAGCCACGAGGTTGCCTCTTCCTTGATGTTTTTACTGATTTTTATCCAGGATTCAGCCTGGATCCCGGCTGACTTGGACCCTTCTTCTCTCCAGGATTTTGCCTGGGGTTCAAGGATGGCTCCAGAAGGCAGAGCTGATAAAGAGTCTCCTCGAGACACCCTCTGCCTTGCTTGGAAAGCAAACGTCAGCAGGGAGCCCTGGAGGAGAAGAGAGCTGGCCGGTGGCCACATACACGCCGGAGGAAGCCGGATGGGTCAAAGGGCTAGAGCACCAGGATAGAGAGACAGGGGGCTCCCAAGATGTCACCGACATTCACAGAGCTTAGAAGAGTTCCATTTTTGCACTACGATTACCAGAATCCACCAGCTGGGAAATTCTGGGAACTGGTTTCCAAAAGGTGGCTTTCTCCAAGTTATGGCTGATTTTGTTTTATTCCCCGGTCTTTCACTATGGAAAGCATTGACTGCTATGGAATGATCCTTGAGAAGAAGTCCCTCCATGTCTTGCCGGTCGAGTCTTATTCCAGTATCCCAGAATCTTCTTGAAAAGGCAAAGGTTTTATAAAAGAAAAGGGTTTTAAACGGGTGTTGTTTCCTTTTTCCTAGGTGAAGAATGTTAACGATGGGGTGAGCAGCCACGATGAGACAGCCACCTTGGCCTATTCGGAGAAGCCCATGAGTCCTGTCAATGCTTCAGCTGCCCCCTACAGCTACAGAACCTCTGAGAACGGCTACCATGCCACGGAAAACACAAGCAGGTGGGCCTTGAAGGCTTCCTTCCTTCTATCCATCACCAGCTTCCTTCCTTTCCTTCCATCATTTCCTTCCTTCCTTCCTCTTATCCATCATCAGCTCCTTCTTTCCTTCCTTCCTTCCTCTTATCCATCATCAGCTCCTTCCTTCCTTCCTCTTATCCATCATCAGCTCCTTCTTTCCTTCCTTCCTTCCTCTTATCCATCATGAGCTCCTTCTTTCCTTTCTTCCTTCCTCTTATCCATCATCAGCTCCTTCCTTCCTTCCTCTTATCCATCATCAGCTCTTTCTTTCCTTCCTTCCTTCCTCTTATCCATCATCAGCTCCTTCTTTCCTTCCTTCCTTCCTCTTATCCATCATCAGCTCCTTCTTTCCTTCCTTCCTTCCTCTTATCCATCCATCATTTCCTTCCTCCCTCTCTCCCTCCCTTTCCTAAGACTATAACCCCAAGAGCTTGGACAACGTGGTGGCACAGGGATCCTGGGGCTTGTAATCCAAAAGAGGCATGCAGGGCAAGGAGGGGGTGGCCCAGCCGACCTCCTCCCTGCCGTGACCCCAGCACCCTTGTTCTGGTCCTTTCCAGCCCGTCTTTCCCCACAGCCACGGATGGCAAGCCCGGCCGGGCCTTCAGCTCCAGCACTTTGGCCGAGAAGGTCCGAGAGATGCCCAGCCGGCCCTCTGCCCGCCGGGGCCGGAGGCGGCGGAAGAACCCGGAACTGGAGGAATCTCAGTACGAGACGGACTACACCACGGCCGTGGAATCCAGCGACGAACGCGACAAGGACGAGTGGAGCCGGTGAGGAGAGGAAGAACTCCCATCTTGGGCAGGAAACAGACCCAAAATAGTGGGGGGATGCACCCCAGAATCCGAGCAGATTTTTTTCTGTTTCCTATTTATATACAGTAGGATCTCCTTACCTGCGGAATCACGGATCCGCGGCCTGAAAATAATTTAAATTATTAATAGAACAATCTCTAAAATATAGATTTTTAATGATGCACTTACCAGAACTGGCCGCCAGAGACTACGGTCTGTATAGGATTCGCTAGAGATGTCATTAGTAGAAATGACCACTAGAGGGAGTGAGAGAACATGCTGTCGTCCCGTTCCCCCCCCCCCCCCCCCGGGGGGTGGATATGGGGGTCTTTTTTCTTATTTTTGAAATGGTTTTCTCACCATGCGGGTTTATTTCCACCCACACCGCCCTTCTCTGCAGCTTGTACCCACCCATCACGTCGGACACGGCTCGCCAGAAATGCAAGCAGGAGTTTGACTCCGACCTCAAGCGCTACAAGGCGCTGTGTGCCGAAATGGACAGCATCAACGACCAGATCAACCAGCTCAGCAAGCAGCTAGACCTCCTGGCGGTGGACAGCCTCCAGTACCAGGTCAGGGGCTCTCGGACCGGCAGATAAAGCCAGAGGCACAAGGGGAACAAGACGGCTGGGTTTTAGGTCGGACCTCTGCTACTTCGAGAGCTGGGGGGGAGGGGACAACACCCAACCTAGCTGTGAGATAGACTGTGTTGGAACATGGAGGTTCTCCTACAAGGCTCATGATCCTGTCACTTCCCCAACTTCTGATGATTTTCTTTCACAGGGGGTGGCAGAAGAATACAACCGCCTGAAGGACTTGAAACGGGTGAGTACCCTTTGAGCCCAGCAAAGCTCCAGGTGCGAATTCAGCTCCCGTCCGCTATCTTTGCCAGCATTTGGGAGCTAATCAGAATTGTGGTCCAAATCCTGGGAAGTTCACAAGCGGGCCCCGTTCCTGGGATGCACAGATTCCAGACATTCACAAAATACGTGGTAACAAACACGCTGGCGGGAGAGGTGGTTTAAAAGTGGGATTTCTCAGGGCTCTGAAGAGGGCCGGGAATAACGGTGTGTTTTCTTTTTTTAAAAAAAAAAATTGGGCAGACACCGGATTATCAAAGCAAAAAAGCGGAGAGTCGGACCTTGCGGAACAAGCTTTTCCACATCAAGCGGATGGTGAGCGAGTACGACAAGCACCGAGGCTGAGGGGGCTGGCAAGGTGACGGGACCCTTTAATCTTCCCCCGTCCCTGAAAAACACAACATACACACACCAGGTTTCTGCAACCTGGGGAGAAGGGAATACCGAGCTCTCCAATCTCTACCCAGCCGGCCCGGAAGGCCTTGCGGAACAAGCTTTTCCACATCAAGCGGATGGTGAGCGAGTACGACAAGCACCGAGGCTGAGGGGGCTGGCAAGGTGACGGGACCCTTTAATCTTCCCCCGTCCCTGAAAAACACAACATACACACACCAGGTTTCTGCAACCTGGGGAGAAGGGAATACCAAGCTCTCCAATCTCTACCCAGCCGGCTCGGAAGGACACGGGGCCCCCGAGACCACCAGACGGCAAAAACCCACGGTCTTCCTTGGGTCGGTGCAAATCCTTCCCCCTCCTGGTTCGGCAGGACCTCAAGCGGAATTTTATTTTTTTCTATCTCCTTCCTTTTGGCCACATTTTTTTTTTAAAAAAAGGCTTTGGTGTATGAACCATTTCCCCCCCCCCAAAAAAAACCCCACCGGAATGACGGGTTGCAGATCCAACGGCGTTCCATCACGAACTCAGCTTTTTTGTTCTAGAAAAAGAACGGATTTCTATTTCTGTTTTCCGTGCCAAAAAAGAGAGAAGAGATTGCCGTTTGGGAATGTCCAGGGACGGGCGGCCTATAGCGAGCTCTTCGAATCCTGGATTCTGTGTCATGTTTTCGTACAAATTTTTAGCAGCGGGGGCCGGGGGGGGGTTTTCCTTGTAATGTAATTCCTGTTGGTTATTTCTCTCTTCCTCCAAAAAATAGATGGTAGTTTTTCACATTCTCTCGCTCAATTCCACATCCCCCTCCAGGCAAGGGAGTGTCACAAAAGGGCAGCTAGCATCCAATCGAAAATGCCTTGCTGGGAATTTCGCACTGTTCGGGGGTGTGTGTATGTGTCAGAGCATTTAATTAAGAAACTCTTCTTTAGTTCTCTTTTTAAAAAAATAGTCTTGATCTTGTACAGTGTGCCCTGCAGCAGGCAGGTTTTTCGCACATGAAGGGGGATGGGAGACATTTTGAGATTCATTTTTTTTGCTTCGGGTGGCGAAATCTCTTGGGACGGCTCTGGATTTCTGTGCATGGCTAAAACACCGCCCTAAATAAATAAATAACCAATGAAAGCTATTTGAAAGGCAAACCTCAGAGTGGGTCAGAAGCTGGAAAAAGGATCAACATCTTTATGTGTTGAATTTCTCCTGGATTGTAATGTAGAATAAAGATTAACTCCTCCTGTTCGTGGTTCGAATTCCCCCACCCTCCTGGTGGGCTCAGGAAATCCACCGAGCAGCAGGGTCTGAACTGCAGGAACCTGAAAGTTCCCACCACAATTCGGACATCCTGAGAGAAACAGAGAGCTTGCCCTTGCTCTATCAAGACAAATTACAACTTTTCCTTGGTTTTCTAAGAAAAGTGGGAGAAATATTTTACTGATGCATGGGTCAAGTGTCCATCAGACAAGAGGGAGGGAAAAGGTAGTTGCCCACAGCCGGCCGTGGCTGCTCCTGCTAAGCAAAAGATAGACTGCTCTGTTAACTGGAGGTTCCACCACCGGACGCTTTGCCTGCCTTGGGTATTAACTCCGGCCTGCGGTTTCGTGGGTGCAAATGCCAACAGAAGGGGCCCTGAACCACCCACAGCGGTTTCGGAAAAGAGTGGAAAAAAGTCTGGTTTTCCCAGATAACTCAGGAAGGCAACCCTTGCAATCTGTGCCCATCGTCCAACCTGCCTCAGGCTGATGGGAGTTGTAGTTTAATGCCTGGCGCAGTCTCGGATCAAGGGAGGCCTGGATTTACGACGGCCTCTTGAAACAACGATTGGGAGCTTCCAGTGGCCGTAAACCCCTTGATCTCAAGCCTAGGTGATCCGTGGTCCTTCCACTGAGCATTTAAAATATTTTTAGAAATCCACAATTTCCCCACTAAAACCTCCATTGTTTTAGACCCTGCGCGCGTCTCCTTCTAAAAGGGTTCCAGGAGATCAGCCCCCCCCCGTGCTCCTTTCCCCTCTGTCTCATAACGTATGGAAATAAAGCACATTTGAAGCCAAAAACGGGATGGCGGGAAGAGCAGTTTTATTTCCAAAGCAGATCATTCTTTTTGAGTGTTTCTTGGTGCAGAGAAAAGGGAGGTTTGCATAGATATTTTTTTTTTAAACTTTGGACCTGGGAGACCTGAGTTTTGAGTCCAGCTGCTCTCCTGGACTCCCAACTGGAGGGCAGGGGGAGAGAGTTTTTTAGGCAAAAGTGGATCTGGGACTTGTTTTCCTGCATCTGTGAAATGGGCTGAAAGGGCAAATCTCTCCTTGGCTCTTTTGGAAGAACCGTGATGCACGCAGACAAGGAAACTTGCAACGCAGTCAGCAAACGCAGGAACACAGAGGGCGGGGAAAAAAAGAGACCCAAAATGGCAAACAGTCGCCGTTTTTTTTTGTCCAAACCACTGCTACACAAGCCCACAGTGGCCGCTGTGAATGAACGAATACATTTCGACGGCATGCATTCAAACCATTTTGCATAGCCTGTTTGCAAACGGGAAGCAGGAGGGGGTGACTTGTCTGGAGGGAGCAGATATGACTCCATCATGGATGCAAAAGACTATAGATCGTACTCAGAACCTGCTTTCATGGCAGTTTGGGGGGGGGGAAGTGCCATGTGTCAGCCCATCCGTGGCACCCAATGTTGAAACCTCCGGCCAGGCCCCCCAAAAAATGGATTCCAGATTTTTTTTCTCTTAAGTGCAGGAATGTAATTTCTCTCTTCGCTTGGCTTAGGGAAGCTTTTAAAAATCAAATCGAGGGTGGGTGGGAAGGCGAGTGTGTTAAAGGACCATTGGGGGTGGCTTCTAGGGATGCCCAGCATAGCCCACTCTTGCGGGCAAGTTAGCTGTCATGGGTACCAAACATGGGGGCACCGTTCCTGATTAGCAGCTGTTTTGCTGAAGGCCCTTTCCAGCCACAGAGGTGATATTTGGACTTTTTTTCTGGGCATCTGTGCGCCCAGGCGCTCGGAAAGGAGCGTCTTCCCCAGAAGAGGCAAGGAGAAATGGATCTCCCTGCCGGCGGGACGTGCACGTGGGTTAGGGGAGAACTCAAAAACCTTCCCGGCTCCATTGGCTTCGGAGTCCCCTCTCCGAACCGGGAGATTTCTCACCCCCCCACCTCCCAAACAGCATGGAATACCTGTGGATTTGGAACCTCAAAACGTGGCTTTCCCTGCACCGCATCCCTCCTGCAATTGGGAAACGCTCGGATGGAAAAAATTTTTTGGCGAAGACGGGAAGGCTGGTCCGGACGGAGAGCAGGGAGGTGGAAGAGGAAGCAGGAGATCCAGAAGGGGGGGGCAGAAAACCCCAGGGAACACGCCACCCCCCCCGCATTTCTTCTCTGCCAGATCTTCCCCGACGGACACCCATCAGCCACGACCAGGAAGAATGATGTGCGTTGTGGTCCCAGGGAAGATACTCTCGGGGCAGAGACGGATTCCGTGATGCTCGTCCTCTCCTGGGGCCATGGGAAGCCGCTCCCGCTATCATGCAAAGTGTGGGTGCAAACTTCCCAGAAGGAAGCATGGCTTCCCCCCCCTTCCCCAAATATATATATATATATATATAAACCAGGAAGAGGATGGGGAGATCTGGTTTTGAAATGCAACAGAGGGGAAATGAGTTTTTAAAACTAGAAGGAAAACAAAACCATCCATGTGTTGTTTTTCCCACGTCTCCCCGAAGACGAAGAACGGGACTCCATCCAGATCTTTTCCCACGTCTTGTCTCTTTCAGGAAGGCAGGGTTTTCCCCACTTGGTTGTGGGGGGGACCCCCTTTCTGGCTCATTTTTGCCCCAACCCCATAGAGGCTGGGTGGTGTTCCCGGAGGCGCACCACCGCCTTGCCGGCCTCGGTCCGAGGGAGACCGGGATAGGGCGGTGGGGTTCAGGTGATGGATGTCCGGGGGTGTGTGTCTCCTCACTGCCCCGTCCCATAAGGCCAGTTGAAGCTGCTGCCCGAGAGCAGCATGTCCCGGATGAGGGTCTCGATGGGGGTCTTGCCCACCAGCCGCATAAAAAAGAGCTGAGAGATCAGGGAGGCCGGGACGGCCCGCAGGGCTGGCAGGCGCAACAAGAGTCTGCCGAAGCGTTGCGGCTGGGAGGGGTACTGCGAGCGCACGTACTCCGTGAGCGCGACCTGTGCCTTCTCCTGCAGGTTCTCCACGTGGGCAGGGTCCGAGAGGCCGCAGGCATCTGGGGAGGAAGAGAGAGAGGTGTTAAACGGCGAGCACCCGTGGCCCCAAAGCCTGTCCCCGTGGCCCTGTTCTTGTGATCCTATGGGCTGGTGGGCAGCAGCTGGCCCTCCAGGACCTAAACCCTGTTTTGCTTAAAGACATGGAGATCCTAGTCATGATCCCAAAGCTGCCTTGGGATGGCAGCTGTCTTGAAAGGTGGCTGTGGCACAAATTAACTCAAATATCAATCCAGAATTTGAAATAAGGTATAATATATATAAGCACGCAAATGCTTATTCTTTCAGCCACCCGATGGTGTTATCAGCCTACACCCCAATTCTAGCCACTAATTAGAGAGAGAGAGAGAAAGGGGTCTCAATAAGCACTATTTTGGTTCCAAATGGTTTTGTTTTACATCTTCGTTGGTTTTTTTTTTTTTTCAATGCAAGGTAGAGAGCAGAGAGCAGCGGAAGTCAAATCCATGGATGTTATACCGGGGTGGCCCTCCAGCATCCGATCTGCCCTTGCCGGGAGGGTGACCCATAAGGGAGGATGCAGACCAGGGGGGTGTCGGGAAGCACCCAGGGGTGGCATTGGAGGGGGCGCGACAAGGCTGCGCCGCGCACCCACCTGGCGTGAAGAGGGCGATGGCCTTGAGGCAGCTGTATTCGGCTGAGTCCACCTGCAGCCGGTTGAGCTTCTCCACCTGGTCCTGGAAGATGCGGATCTGGTCCATGAAGGAGACCACGCGGTCGGCAGACATGGGGGCGGCGTGGAAGCCGGCGGCAGCCAAAAGGGGAGCCATGTGGAGCGGGAGGGCTGACTGGGCGGCGTTGAGGACGAAGAGCTCGCTCCAGCTGAGTCGCAGGAGGGCCACCTGGTCAGAGACGGGGAGGTCGGGGAAAAAGGGGATGTTGCGGGCCCACTCCACCGTACTGAAGAGGAGGCGGGCGGCCAGCTCACAGATGTTGTCGATGCCCATCACGCTGCCCTGCTGCTGGGCGTACTGGGAGCTGAAGCGGGCCGTGGGGTAAGGCTCGGCCCGCAGCAGCTGGGCGATGAGTTCGGAGACCGGCTGCCCGTTGTAGTACTCGCCCCCACCAGGCAGGGGGTTCGGGCTGGAGCTGGCATGGCTGGGCGGGATCCGGCCGCGCTGGACAGCTGGGGAAAAAGAGGGCAGTGGGTCAGGAAGGTGTGTGTTTGTCTCTCCATGTGTTTAAGACGGCCCTAGAACTGCCAGGCAAAGGAGCACAGATTTGGCTCGCCGGGAGGAAGAGCGGAGAAAGGTAGCCTATCAATGCGGCGCCAACACATAAAATGAAATCAGTCAGGGGGAGACGGAGAGGGAGGAGGAAGCTGGTTGAAAAGATCAAAACGGAAACAGAGAACAAAGCAGAAGGAGGGTAAAGAGCAGGGAGAAGAAAAGTTGAAGATGCGAAAGAGCTGGAGAAGAGGGAGAGAAGAGGAAGTGAGAAAGAAAGGAAAGAAGAAAGGTGGAAACGAGGAGGGAGAAAAGGAAAGGAAGGAGGGGGGAAGATGGGAGACAGGGAAACTGGGTGGGTGACCTTCTGGAGCGGAAACCAAGAGGGAACCTCCAAGCTCAGGAGCAGTCCACCTCTGCATATGGGTGAATAGAAGCTGCTGTCTTCAGACTCTGCTTGTGAATAGGGTCACATCTTCCTTTGATTTGAAGGGCCTCGGGCCAGATCCCGGAGGTGTCTCATGTTTTTCTAAACCAAGAGGAGTTGGGGCAAAAGGGGCCGAGGACAGTCCTTAGTGACGGCCACTAAAGAGGGGCCAACCGGGCCATGGAGAGCAATCCAGCGGAAAGCAGAGGGCAAGCCCAACCTTTGAAAGCCGTCCACGTTTGGGCTTGCAGATCGTCATCAGAGACGGGATGGGGTCAGGCCGGCCTGAGCCGGCAAAGGTGGAAAGAGCCTGGGTTTAGGGCTTTTTGGAGGTGGGAGGGGGCTCAGAAATCATTCTGGTGAAAGAGGGGGGTGCACGCTTGCCAGAAAAACCTGGCCAAAGCACCAAGCGCAAGGACCCCTCCTTTGGCACGGCCTCCTTTTCCAGCGGTGATTTTTACCGCCGCTGTGCCACGTGACACCCCCACCCGCCTGCTTGCCTGCTCTCCCCCCCCTCCCGGGCCCTCACCAAACCCACAACACTGGTTTTACCGGTCCTCCTCCCGCCTGCCTGCTGGTTCCCTGAGCAGCCGGCAGGCAGGCAGGCGACGACGTGGCTGCAGAGAGACAGAGAGCCAGCTTCCCCCTCCAGCTGGTCCCTCCGTCGGCCTCGCCTGCCCAGCCAGATTTCTCAAGCTCCTAGTCCTCAAGCTGGCCCTCCCCGTCCTCGCCCAGTTATATGTCGGGAGGGGTGCCTGCCTTTCCTTGATGTCTGGAACTCAAAATCCTCTTTTTAAAAATTTCTTCTTTCCCCACCTCCCTCCCTCACCCTTTCCGGCAACTCCGTCCAGCTTCCCTGAATCCCTCTTACCTTCTTTCCTCATGCCAACCCGGAAGCACTTTTTCAGGCGGCAGTACTGGCATTGATTTCGGTGATGCTGGTCGATCTGGCAGTCCCGGTTCGACCTGCAGGCGCGAGAATCAAAGGCTGAACAACGGGCGTTATTTTGCAAACCCCTCGCTTGCACCAACATAGTGGGTTGAGTGACAAACTCAGACCCAGGAGGGCTGGGTTCGAAACCCTTCTCCGCCACAGAAACTCACTCCAGACGAGGTGGAACGGATAAAAACACTTCTTAAATATCTCACCTGCCTTGAAACCCCTATTAGGGACACTGTAAGTTAGTTCTGACTGAACAGCACATCCCAACAAACATTTTAATCTGCCAAAATGTTATTTCTTTAGCTTTTTTTTTTTTACTATGTAGCTAATGCAATCGTCACAAGCAAACCATGTTTAATGACACATTTCTCTTAAAACTGAATTTGCCTTTAACCCCAACAAGCCGTTCCCCAGATGGAAACGGGCCTTTAATTAGATTTCGCAGTGGGGCGGCTGCCTTTTTTTATTTTGCCAC